CTTTCATTACCCCATCTACTTTTTGACCTCAGCTAAATCACACTGAATTTGTGCTACCTCAATTTCCCTAGTTTGAAATTGAGGTTGAGATACCTCACTCCATATGTGATGTAGCTAAATATTTCTTCATATAAAAATGGGAGATCCTTTAGCAAAATTGACTCAGGGCAAATAAACTAGTGCAATGTTATGGTTGAGAATCTGAACAGAGAGCTATCAAAAAATGCAAAGGCAAACTCCCACAGCAATTATAAAGTAGGTCATACTGAATGTATGTGTTAAGACATTGAAGACACATATACTTGCTCAGTAAAAACTGCAGCGAAAATCACAGCTTTAAATGTCCAGACATCTGTGAGTTCAAATTCTAATGCAATCTTATAGTCTGAAAGTTCTATTTTCATTTAATACAATCTGATAACAGATAATGCATTGTTTGCATTTTATTCAATCACTTCTGATACTCTGCTCTATTGATCGATATGATTTTTTCCTTTTATCTTGACATTGTAGCAATCTATGTGTGGACCTGCAATGACACTGCTCCATTTGACATTGTAATATTCCCTGTACAGCTGTATTTACATCATTTCAGCCCTTCAGAATGACAATAAGTCCCATGAAATCAAATGATGAGCTAGTATTATCACAAAAATAGCAAGAAAAATAACAGCAATAAATTAGCTATCCTAGCAGTTCAAAACCTAGACCTTTTTTAATATAGTATTTTTTTTTTCTGTCAAGCTTAAGTGAAATTTCTTTTATTAGCTCTGCTATTTTCACAGTTTAAAAAGTGTCCTGGAAAACAGTAACTATCAAATACATATACGGCCTGTCAGATAACAGTCCCATCTAGTTAAAAAGTCGATAGCAAATATTTATAGAGGAAGATGAGAAACAGGACATGAATACTGTGTTTCTTCCCATAGCAAATGTAGGCAGGAAAATACACAGCAATTGTCATTCAGGAACATCTTGAAACTGAAGTTGCAATTGGAGTACTACCAATACTACTACTAGATAGCTCTTTAACTAATTCTCTAATATTTTTGACTGTTTAGAACTTATTTTCACAGTACTTTTGGTAGAGCTCTGCACTGTGCAGAAATATTTTTCCTGTCGTATATTGTAAGGCTAAATCTCATTTTCTGGAATAGAAATCTGTGACTCTGTGACTCTTTACATATTTACATAGAGATGTTTATTCTCCTAAACTGGACCTATCTTTCATCTCCAGGAGAAGATGTATACGTAAAGGGGAAATCTTACTCGAACTTAGTAACTGCAATGAGACAGCATATAAGTCTAGGAAAGATATTTAGAGTGTACATAATGGGCTTGAGTTATTAAAAACTGAATTATCTTGAAAAGGGGTGATTTAAGTTAGAAAGCTGTGCAAAGGCACAAAAAGAGCACAGTAATTTTTTATGACGTGCCTCTGTGAATTCAGTACATTTTCTCCCGAAAGGTAACTCCAAATGAAGCATGCTGCTTAGATATGATATCAAACCCAATGATGCTATATGCAATCCACATCTGATGAATTTAAAGTCACAGTTTTCATTAAAGTCTGCTTATTCATCACACAGGCTGAAATCCTTTCTTCTTATTTGTGTGTGGTATTTTTTTTTTTCTTTTCAATGCAGTTGCCATTACCTTTCATCTTGCACAGTAAAAAAGCAAAATCAAAAAAGCTATAGTAGTTACTTCTGATCTGTGGATTACATTTTACATGTACAAATTATTTCCTATGGGAAATCTCTATTCTAATTTACAGGTAACAGTTGCCTTGATCTTTCTGGCCACGTAGATATGATTAGAGACGGGTTCGCTGTTGAGATCCCAAATGTTAGTTTACGCATCTGAGGCAACTGGCAGTAAAGAGGAAAAATCTTGAATTTTGCTCTCAGCAATGCAGTAATACTTCTACCTCAGCAAAGCAAATCCTGCTGTATCAATAACAATATCCGAAGAGGGAAGACTGATAGGGATTTAACCAGCGGCTATCCTGCAGCAGTACAACATTCACAATGCCCAACTACTCAGGTTATACTCTGAGATAACTAGTAGTCACAAAAAAATCTGACATATTCTCTCTCCCCTATAGAGCAGCAATTATTCTTGTGCTGCAGTTGCTGATGCTTTTTTATTAGCTTTTTAAAGCTAACAGTTCACTGGGGGCTAGGGGGTCGTTACTCTTGAATCCAAGCACTTCCTAGAGAGTAGGGAGAGATGTGGATGGCTGGTTACCCCCAAATGGGCTCCCTGGAAGAGACTGTTTGAAAGAGCAGTTATTCTCTTTCTAACAGTGCAAACCAAATTCCCTTGCATCTTCTGCAGCCTTTTCCCCAGGGAGAATTTCATCAGCCCATAGTCGCTTGCTGGTTGTTTTTTAATCAAAATTAAGACACTGACGAAAGAAAGAAAGAAAGAAAGAAAGAAAGAAAGAAAGAAAGAAAGAAAGAAAGAAAGAAAGAAAGAAAGAAAGAAAGAAAGAAAGAAAGAAAGAA